TATATATATATATCTATAAATACTTCAATCTACATACATACATATGCATGAAAATAAACACACACACACATGTATATATGTATGTCTATATATGCATATATACACACATGCACATATATACATATATATTCGTAAATATGTAATTGTTCACATACATACATACATACACACTCTCACACACACATATATATATACTATATATATATATATATGCATATCTATATAAATATTATAACGCGTCGAAAATTAACCCCCCCCCCACACACCCCTAAAGGTAAACACAAACACACACATGTGCATAAATCTATATGCATATATATATATATATATATGTAATATACATATATATATATGCATATATATACATATATACATACATACATACATACATATATATATATATATATATATATACATATACATCAATACATATGCACATATACATACTTCTATACATACATTCGTATACAACATATATACAAACACACGTATGTATATATATGTATACATTTATAACAATAATTATATAATGATAATAATGATTATAATGTAGTAACAACAACAACAACAATAACGATAGAAACAATAACAATAACAATATACTACTATATATATAATAAAAATAACATGTATATATATATATATATATATATATACATGTATATATATATATATATATATAATAACAATAAAAATAATAATACATTACTGTATGATAACATGTTTACGTTGTATATGTATAATATTACCTATATAATGTGCATATTATATAATTTGAAACAGATGAATTCAATAATATATATATATATATAGATATATATATATGTATATATATAAATAAATAAATAAATAAATATGTATATAGATATATATTTATATATAAATATATATATATATATTATACATACATACAGAAAGACAGACAGAAATACATACATACATACATACAGAAAGACAGAAAGAAATGCATACATACATACACACACACACACATATATATATATATACATATTACATGGAAACATGCACACATACACTCACACACATATACATATATATACGTACATACATACATATATATATATTACATACAAACATGCACACATACATACATATATACACATACACACACACACACACATATATATATATATATAGAACACATACACACACACACACATATATATATGTAGATACATATACACATAGGTATATATTACATGAGTATATATGGTTGATTTTTGTACGCTGCAATATACACCGTCACAAAAATTATTTTATTTTCAACACTAGGCTGAATATGTTTGGGCAACTGCAGTAAAAAGCAGGTGGATTTGTACAATTTTTCTCAGTTGAGACAAGGTTGCGCACATAAGCGTCTATGAAACTGATATTTGAACCTTGAATAGGCGTCTACGACAAGCAAGTAAAGAACAGTGGCACATAACCCCTGATACTGATTGTTCACCAGGAACGTCCAGATTGATTCGACTTACTGGATATTTCATTCTCCATACTAAGACTTCCGCAGCGAAGTGGACATATGTCAAGCATGTATCTCATCACAATACATAGTGGATGCACATAACAAAATGTTCCTGCTACCCAAAAGCAGTGTATCTGCCACCCAGTTGATCTATTTTCATATCTTTAACCCCGCTTTCTCTGCCGAGGCAACCTCTTGGGCCTGTGCTTCGGCGACTGCCAGCTCAAGTAGTTTACGCTTTTCCTGTGCTTCCGCCATTTCGTCGAGCATCGGTTTGAAGGTGTATACACCAGTCGCTACGCCAAAGACGACTGTTATTACAATAAGGTCCCACCGTTTCTGTTTAATTGCCGGTATCATATTCGATCGTATTCTTCGACAGTCTGAACTGACATTGGAGCTGATGAGAGACTAAGTATATTAAGAAAAAATATCTATATTTATTTACATTTTTGGCACAGAGAGAGAGAGAGAGAGGGAATCAACTTTGTATCTATTTATCATCGTTCACTGTTTCACGTCACATGATGAAGTACGAGAGAGATGAGTCATCTATTATTTATTTGAATTTTTACGACATAATTATTAGAAAGAGAGACTGAGTTCGGTACCGGTAAGGAATTCTATCATGTATGCCAAGAGACCTTGCTTTTAGGTCTCTTGATGTGTGCATTCAGCGTTATGCACTGCCAAATATTTAAAATTACATAAATAGTTCAAAGTGAGATCAAAACTTCTGACTCTCTCACTTGAAAAATAAGAAGTGCATATAATATTAATCATACTTGTTAGTATCATAGTGCTTATAATTAAAATTACAATCACCAAATTCTTGCGTTTTCTACGACCGATACTAAATACATATGTACAATAATATAATTGAAATCTGTGTGTCGCACTGTCGCGAGCCCCAGTCATTGTAGTGGAAAAATTCACTACACACCACTTGCAGTGGTGCGCTCGTCTGACCTTGTGGCTATAAGTGCCATAAATCTGCTTCTGTCGAATCGAAGAATTATGTTGCAAAATATGTATTGCTCGAGAGGCAATGGAAGCTCTACACCACGAATTTAGGTGTTTCAGAGATACTAGACATTGTTGTGCTAAAGCTTTACTAAATAATCTCAGGGATATAAGTCTGTTGAGACTCGAGAACCGAATCGATTTATACTTTTTTGTTGGTTAATAATCAATACTTGTGATTACATATAGATCAGCAGCAACAAGGGCAAAGATATCCAAAGCAGCAAGCTATAAGTGTGCACGGCAAGCACAGAATTTTGCAACCACCATCCATATTGTAGGTCATATTAAATTCCAATTTCTCTTCAGTCGTATTCGCGGTTGTAGATTTTGTAGATTCGCTACCTATTGTAGATGTCAGTTTGCAAAATACACTTGAGTGCTAATAGTTTGTCGAAAATGATATCACTTACAACAGGAAAACAGGAAATCAAACATGAACCCAATGTCTGCTGAGACAAAAGCGAGCACACTTTGTATAAAGATGCGCTCGAAAACAGCAATGTATGTATTACCTGGTTGACTCGTTATCGTTTTCTCAATCATCCATAAGGTTTGAGCGTCGGGAAGTTGCTTGTCGTTGTAATGTAGGTTTATCTCTTCCGTGGGAATACCAGTCTCTTCAGTGATACGTAATTTGATATCACCTACTGTGGTTGTGTAGTCGGCTTTAAGCTGCAAGGACGAGCTTGTCTCTGGGCGTTTAATAATAACATCCATAATATTTTAAAGAAATAGCCTGTTGTAGTGTCTGAGTTCCTAGCTTTATAAACAAGCAATAATGTCGATTTACACAGTTCAAGTGCTACATATATAGTATATAGTGCATCATCTCTTGATTCTCTGTGATGAGTAGTGAACTGATACAGACATATTCTGATATTGGTGCAATTCTGTAAGTTTGGCTTCAAGATGTTCATGACTTCACAGTTCACACACGTCACACAACCACATAATTTTGTTTTTAAAAAACAAAAACAAAACAAAATGCCCAAGTTTTTTTGAGGGTGAACTTCCAAAGTCAGCAGACCCAACTTTATATTCCTTACCCAATAATACATGACTCATAAAGTCGTAATGCTCCCTGCAGATTGCGTTTTTGGCTTTAAAAACATTATTTAGATTGTTTTTACTGGTACCCTATGGCTTATAGCTATGATTACTATGGCCCTTTTTGAGTCTTTGTGGGAGAAATGCATCTCGGAGAGAAAGTATTTTTCGAGAGACTTTATCCAGAGGGCCATGTCTATGCCCTTCACAGTTCACACAATGACAAGATGATCTTACAAGAAATCTGCGAAATAGTATTTACGCACTTCCCCCCTCCTGACTTCAGAGTTCAGTGTGTGTCACCCAACTAGTATTCGGATATTCGCATATAATCCTGTAGGAAGGTCCATTTTTATGTCCTTCGGACGTTAGTCCGATCAGCCATATTTTGTACTTTCTTTTTCTCTAGAGGGTCATGGAACGATAGGCAGATCCGTTTCGGCCGAGGTCAAAAAGTCAAGTGGAGGGATGCGTTTACGAAGCGTAGTGTGTTTTGCGGATCAGATTAAATATGGCAGTTGTGCCGATGACGATGTCAAGCGTAACAGATTGCGGAGCAAGTGGCACAAGGACAACAAAACAACAGAGTGAGCTAAAAATAAGTACTTCAAGTTGGTGTGTCAATGTTACAGAACGACTCTTCTCGAATTTTGTAGATGTGGGCAAATTTGTGGGGTAGATTTGTCTTCGTGATCAATCATCTCGTAGATTGACGGGGCCCCAACGGAAGTCGGTGGTTGACTAGTGTCAACACCACACCATGGACGACACGAATCACGTCTGGCTTGGGATAGACTTGGGAAAGGTGGGAACGAGAAGAATAGGAAATGTACAGCATGTTACATTTACTTTCTAGGGATGGTGGTGGTTCGAATAAGACTGTTACCAAGACCAAAGTATCCTTCTGATGCAGGATAAAGCAGTGAAAACGCATATGTTCTTCGCACACTCTGTATGCAAATAGATATGCAACTCTTTTTTTTTAAACCAAAAACATTTATATATTTATGAGTAAATATGTACAGTGCCGCACAAAATTGCGTATAGTGACCCAAAAACCCTACATGACCAGCTAATAGGCGTTATTGGGTTTACGTGTGGATCTCGTCACTGTGTATCACGAAATAAATCACTGAAAATGTTATTGTGTACAAATACTTAGTTATTATGTAAATACAATACAATTTTTGACACTCGCCTACTTCCAAAAAAAAATATATAAAACATCACGATTACAGCTAACTTGTATCGTATACAAACATATTTCCCGTGAAAGACCCCAAAAAGACACTTGAGCAAGATTGTATAGAGAGTATAGATCGCACTGATCAGATGCCGCCCAAGAGGAAAGCAAAGAGTTCCCCGCAAAACCAGGCACAACGAAAGAAGCACAATACACAGCAGGAGAAGAAAGCAGAGGAGCCACAGCCACAAGTGACACCAGATCAGTCGCGGTCCAGCATGGTATGTCAAACAGTTGTTTTAAACCAGTATGGGTTTTAATTGTTTGCGTGGCTTTCACTTGCCCTATTATCGTTTCTGCTGTTGGAGTACTTGTTGTGCTGTTGCATATATATCAGAATTCTGACACCTACGATCAGCTTACGTAGTAGGTCGTACCGCTATTGTGACAATATCTGCGACAGACCCACTATAAGGACTTGCAGCGCTGTTATGTTTCACTAATCAATCCTGCATCTATCTACGAATCAAAGGGTCTCTGATCCCTATCAAACTCAGCGTGTACAGAGGCATGGCTGAGAGTAGCTTAATTATCTTGTGCTTACTTTATATCCTTGTGTTTGTATTGCCAAATGATTTTCCTTAGTGCTTCGTGGCCTAAAACCTGACTATGGGATTTAAAAGGCATGGTGCCGGGCATTGAATACACGCACATACACAACCTTTCCTCATCCCAGCCACATCACACACACACACGTATACACACTCACACAAACACAGACACAGACTCAGATACACACAGACGCAGACACTGACACACACACACAAACACAGACACAGACACAGACACGCACACGCAGACACACACAGACACACACACACACACACACGTGTATATGTGTATACACACACACACACACACATACACACGCACATACACACGC